CCTAGAATTTCTCTATGTATCTCTTAGCACCCTGTATTATAATTACTTCCTTAGGTTATTGAGAGGAGAGATTATCTTGTGCATGTTCTATCCTACCATCCAACACAGAGTGGGTATTCAATAATTGCTTATTGCATAAAGGAATGAGGTCTATAAATAAGTCTAAATTCTTCCTAGGCACTTTCAGAGTCATTTTCTGAAGTTCTCCTGCAATGAGAAATGCACTATCTATGAACTCTACCTACCTGTCTAGAAATAACATTAAATTAAATGGTTTGTGGGTTTTAGTTCTTGGTAATAAAGATAATATGAATAAAGGAAACGCACAGGTACAAAGCCCTTAATTTACCTTACATTTTATTTTCTTCAAAACAAATAATGATAAATGATTATTAGGTTTAGACTAATTTTACTTTCCTCTCTTTATATCCTTAGGGAAGAGAAATGAACTGAAATCAAGAAACAGAAGGGCCAAGGAAAGAAGTCCATTTGAATGTATCAGCATGCAGGTATATTAATTATTCCCTGAATAAGCAACAACTAAACCATTCTGCATTGCTTGGCTACTGAATATGATCAAACCTATATTTATCGTTTAGAACTGAAGTTCAAAGTCTTATACAAGCTTTGTTTGCTTATGACTATTCCATCACCACTTATAGAAAGCATATTTTTTCAAAAGTGTGAAGAATCCACGAGTTTTCTGATCTTTGTGACTCCTCTTAAAGAAAGAAATAACAACCAGACCCAGGACTCCTCCTGTTTGGATGGGATCACGTTAAATGTCGTTCATGGGCCAGAGGAGACAACCTAGGAAACCACCACCCAACAGTTTCCTTTGGGTGTTCACAACTGAACAATAGAGAATTCCCAAATCCTTCCACTACAAAGAAGAGAAAAGAGTTGTAAATCAACAGAAGGGGAGAGAAACAAAAGGCATTTCCTCTACGTTTAACAGAGAGAACTTAAGAGTTATCAAGAGAAGGAACACGCCTTTCTACTTAGCTCCATAATTTTCATTCTAACGTTATTAAAAAGAAGTCATCATTGGTACATGGAAGGATAAATCTGTACTTTAAAGTCCCCTTTTTTCTGTTGTTGGTCACAAAAGGCAACAAAGGAATAACTAATAAATAGAATGTCTTATTTGAAACGTTGGAAAAAGGATGCCAGTTCCTGGAAAATACCTTGCCCATTAGTAAAGAAATTGGTCCACAGGGAAAATGGAATGGAGAGCTCTCCAATGCTGCCCTGTGGGGAGAAATACAAAGGGTCTCCACATGTGGACTTCATAAAAACTTTGATATATAAGAAATCTGTTATCCAAAGTACACGGTAGCCCCAGAAATTGTTCTGTTTAATCTTTGCACAGAGGATTTAGGGCCTGCAAAGTGCAAGAGGCATGATTTTTGCATTGGCCGTTTTAGTATTCATGTCTCCTGTACTGCTTTCTAATAAGTTAAGATGAAACGGGAGACTGCGTGCAGGAGTGAGAGATGCAAGAAAAGCAGTGCTGAGAAATAAAGATGAACAAAAGTGCATCTCTACTTCCCTTTTATTATTAACAGGCGAGAGAACAACAATGCCAAACTTATAATGTTATTACTTAACACTCCACATTCACAAAAAGATGTTGCATCATTTTTACATGTTATTTCTCCATACTTTTCTGATAGAAGCTTTTTTTATAATCAGTTTTTATGATGATATATGAAATGATTTTTTCCAAAAAGGAAGATAAACATGCAGTCTGTGCCAGCATGTTACCAAAACAATCTTTTCGGTGAGAATAATTGTTTCCTTTACTGTTTGGGAAAGGAACAACTGATTGGCCTGCTATTTAAATGTTGTTTTCCTTGTGTTACATAGACCCACTTTTTCACTCCTATTCCCCTCCACCCCATTCAACTCACTATTACTTAAGTGTACCCCTTACACCATATTTCCGAAATATAAATAACATAACAGGATAAGATCTAAAGAAAACTAGCCTTCCTCTTAATTCTTCTGTGTTATAAGGTGTGTAAATGGAGTGGCGGCTCCCATGAGTGAATATATGTGCACCTGCCTGTGGGCTGGCCTCTTTCTAAGAGGAGCATGTCTGTGTGGCACACTGAGAAATGTTTGCTCAACGTAAGTGGGCAAAGTATGCTGAGATTCAGAAACTCCAGCCACCCTCATGTTTTAGGTATCTGCTAGGTAATTTGTTAGTTTGCATGGAGAAAGTCATCCAACAAATAAGTAGACCCCAAACCAGGGGACTGTCTCCTACCTTTAGCTGTCATCTTCCATTCCCTGACAAATTAGCTTAGTATTTCTTCTGGGGCAAAAAGAATGGCAGTGGAAAGTTCTCCAAACCCTTAGGTTTTATTAAATTTGGGAAGAATCTGGGATTCTGATGAGAAAGATTTCTTCATTTATTATTACATGGCCCAGAGCATAGCAATCTATCAGTTACCTTTTTCAGTTTTGCAGAATAAGATATCTTAATAAAACAAAAAGCAGAAATTATCTAGGTAAACTGTCTACATTTCTTCAACAAATGTAAAAAATATGCCTTCACTTGGGGCCACATAGTCATAGCCTAGCAGGTAATAAACTATATATTTTTAAATACAAGTCCCAGTGAAATGAACATTGTTAAGTAGAGTAAACATTTATTTCAAAGCCATAAGTATGTCTGAGTATAGAAAAAGAGTTCAAGATCTTTAAATATGTTCCCATTATTAGAACTTTACACACACACACACAATTTATTTCCTTCAATTTCAAATCTAATAAATAGTGTCAACAGATACCTTTTTCTCTTTACTTCTTAATCCATACATTATTAAATCTAACATATGAAAACTATGGAGAATATGCTCCCTACTCCAGGGCAGTGGGTTGAAGTGGTATGTCTGTTGCTGTGTTACTTGTCTGCATGGAGAGCTTGCATTGATTCACTGATGCCTCTAGGAATAAAGGTCAGTCCTTATGCTAATGTTGATAGTGATGTTACAATGATAGCAGTAGTACCTGCAATTTTTTGAGTGCATTCTATGTGCTAGATGATTTATAAGCCCCATTTTTATTTTAAAAATACTACAGTGACTTGCACAAAATGAAGAAACCGTGACTCCCAATATTTATATGATTTTCTCAAGGTCCTAGATCTGGGTTTGCAACCATGTCTGTCTGATTCAAAGTTCATGTTTTCTTCCTACATCCCTCCAAGCGGAGAGTTAATTCAGGCAATGTGAAAACTTGAAGTAAGGTGACCATATGTTCCAGTCTATACCTGTTATCCTAGCGTAATTAATAGATTCCCCTTTCATGCTCGAAAATGCCCCAGTATGGACAATGTTTAACAATCAACCTATCTTTGAGCAAGGTTTAAAATCCACGTAAGACTTTTCTAAGGTATTGTTCACAATGCTGTAATTAATCTTGTTGTCTTTACTGAAGGATGGCAAGCAAGTAACAAATTGGACCTAGCTTGGTGTATTTGGGAAAACAAATGGATTTATGAATGAATATCATTTACTGGTTGAGTGTATTATCGCTCTGTCATCTCTCTTTGAGAATCTTTTGTCCTTCCTCTTTTCCCTCTCCTCCTCCTAGTCTCCATGTTTCTTTCTATGCAGGCTTTTGCTATTGGTCAAGTATTAAAAAATAAATTCCTTGGTTTTGCTTTAGCTTTTGTTTCTGATGAACGTTAAAAATTCAGCTTGGCCGCTCATTCAGATGTTTAAACCACTAGTAATGGTAGTTTTGTCCAAAAGACAAGTAAAAATCATTTTAAGACATCAGTAACTTATTTTTCTTTCTTTCTTCTCCTTAATCTCACTGCTACTATTCCACTACTTCTTTACTACAGCCGTAGCGCATTGGTGTCCAGGGAGCTTTCTTGTTGCAGTTCCTGGACAATGCTACTGCAGGTTTCGCTGGGGGACGCCAGCTCCAAAATGTATTATTTCAAGCACCACCACACATGTCTCTGTTCCTCTTCTGCTTTTATGGGTAAACTGCTGTCCAGTTTCTATTATTTTAAAGGGCTTTCAGGAAGAGGAAAGGAAACGATTTTTGAAAAATAAACGTGATAAAATATGTAACTGTTTAAGACACATGCAATAAGAAAATCTAACATTCGCTTTTGTTGGTTTCAAATGTATGGCTTTGATTTATGGATTAAAATTGCTCATTTATTATTTTATCTATACAGCTCTAGGCAATTTTGACAGTTAAAATTTAGTTTTATTGACCAGTGCAGCCACTGTGCCCACGAGGGGACTGGTGCACACAGCCTGCTGCACTCAAGAAACGATGATTTTTGATTCCATGAGTGAGTCCGATTGGGAATCATAACCAATATAACAATAAGTTCCAAATCTCAGTGCCCAAGGCAAGAGGTTTGCTGTAAAACACAATTGCCCTTTAAGAAGGGGAGGAGAAGAATCCCGGGTAGAAGTTTGCAAGCACAATTTCCTACAGCTGGAATAGGCCACAAATACATCTCTCCATTCAAACTATGCAGCAGTATAAGGGGACGTTTCTCTAAACACCCAGTTCCACAGACTAAATATTAATGAGCAAAAATGCCTGAAAAGCAAAATGAATGTTAGTTACAGAGACAATGAACTAAACAACCATTTTGATGTGAGAAAATTTACTAGTGAGTGCCACAAACCAACCTTTTGCTTTTCAATGAACAACAACAAAAAGAACAGAAGAATTTTGGGGGGAAGATCTTTGCTCCTCCCCCACACCCTCCATGGCAGCACATACAGAAACATAAACCAGTGCAGTGATTTTAGGCTAGGCCTACTCGACTACCAAATTGGCCACCTCTGCAATGTTAATTTAGTCTTTTACTCTAAATCCCCCGTGATACATAAACAAACCTCCAAAGGGGAACAAATCAATAAAATGTCTAATTTGATTAACCATGTTTTCAAATTCATCAAGACAGCTCTAACCTGAAATAAATAGGTGAGTGAATAAATAAATAACGCACTCACTTGTGAGTATTTTCCACGTCTTCTTTTCATCGTCGTAATACTGAACCAAATTGCTGGGGAGCCGGTCCGGTCCAGGAGGCAGCCCTCCAACCAATAACAGCATTTTCTTGTTAGAGCGAATTCTTCACCCAAAACAAAAGAGGAGATGAATAACCACATTATTGTAGAGTCTTTTTAGTGACAACGAAATCATAACCATCAAAGAATGTCCCTTGCTTGCAGATATCTATTTCATTTTTTCCTGTTTCTTCCCCCATTCATGTCTCAACAATTTTTTTGAACCAAGCAGAAAAATGATCAGAAGAGCTGCACATCCCCATACTCATAGAATAATAAGCTCCCTTTATGCAATTTGTTAGAGGTTCATTCTAGAACGACCTTTTTCTTATATTATCCCTTTAAATCATCACTCTTTACAGCTGAGTACACATGAAATGCTCTGGAGTTGTACTAAGGTTAAGCATTAAAGTTGCATGTCAAAAATCGTATTAGTCAAAATCATTATTATAAGCCATTCTCCACTCAAAGAACCTTGAAAAAATTAAGGTTATGCAGGGAGTTTGTGAGCCAACTCTTTAATCACCCAGGGAACTTCAAATACCAGTTTGGTACAATTAGTAGCACAGGGCTAACTGGGGTGGGTTAACCAGTTTGAACATGCATTTTTTTGTTTGTTTAATTTAGCTTAGACTTCTGCCTTCTTCCCCTTCCCCCACTCCCAGCTCACCCTCCCCTCTGCTCTCCCCCTCCCCTCTGCTCTCCCCCTGTGCACCACTGGCGATATAGCAGCACCAATTGGTAAAAATGAGACTGTGATGTTGTTGTGAGCCTCCCCAGAGTGGAGCCCTGCCAATGCTTGCCACTGATCCAGCGGCATGAACCTGCTCAACTGTGCAAAGTCACTCTAATTCCCTCCCTCTGTTTTTCTACCTTCTCCCCCAGGGGGCAACCACTGAAAGGAGTGACTACCCACCCATCAAGAGCTGGCAATTCGCTGCTATTAACCGTGACTGTGATTCCCAGTCCGCCTGGCAGTTCCTGAGAAAGGCCTGCAATGTCTCATATGCAGTAAAAGCTGTAAGATGCACCCTGGCCGGCACACTCGACCTGATGGATGTACAATCCTCAGGAACAGTAATGGATTGAGCACACTTGTGCTTGAAGCAGGGAGAGGAGGCCCAGACCCCCACAAAGGGCCTGCTGATTTAACAGTCGCTTTACATATAATTGAACTTTTCATGTACCTGAAAGGCTCAAGGTGGTGGTGGAAGAAACGGAACAACAATGATTGAAGGAAAAAAGTCAATAAATACAAAAGGGTTCCTCTTAGTGATGATCACAAGCCATGGCATGGCTCTGAGTCTATGATTACATATTCAGCTCGTTCTGATTCAAGAATGCTTGGCGAAGTATGCCCTTGTGGAGAAGCATTGTTTGTTGGTTAAGAACCTAACATTCGGAGAGTTAACTTAACACAGTTAATGACATCTCCCTGTGAAGGAAGGGAACAAGAGAATTCCTTTGATGAAACTCTGGTGCCATTGAATGCATTATTATGCCTCAGTGGGAAAAATACCTTCTGGAGAATTGCCCATATTAGACACTCATCGATAGAGGGAGCTGTACTTACAGAGGAACGAGTAATATGATGGCAACTTGCAGTGTTAATTCTGCCACTCTGTGGATATAGTTGAGCCAAAAGGTAAACAAACCCAAACTCTGAATTTGAAGTACCTTCGAACTGTACCCATATGCCTTATAGACTAGTAGTTGGCAACTAGTAGTTGGCAAACAACTAGTAGTTGTTACAACAGCAAAGAGCCCCCGTAGTTGGAGGATTTCAGTGATTGGGGTGTTTTTGCAAGAGGGGTTAAGAAAAATCAGTGCAGTCAGTACGTCTCTTTCATTTAGAAAACATACATGCATAATTCACATGCTATATAATCTCCTAAATACATGGCCACAGAGCTGATATATGAATATTTTTTTCTTATTGTAGTCTTTAGTCCAAATAATCAACCACTCTGTGTGTGTAAGAGAAGTCAAGATGAAAACAAATACTCTTTTTAGGTTGCTGCAAATGACCATGTGTAGACAGACCTGTTCAACTGGAAGTCATGATTCTGTGGCTGTCCTAACATCACTTGTCCACATGCCACCAGACTGCAGTTGGGGGTAGATCAATATCAACAGGATGGACACAGAGGAAAGAACTCACTGAAGTGGTGGTTGTGCAAAAGCAATATAAATAAATATTTTTTTTTTTTTTTTGAACGGATTCGGTCGTGCCAGGTGGAGTGGTGGCCAATCCAGCTCACTGCAAGCTCCGCCCCGGTTCCCTCCCTGCCCCCCCAAGTGCTGGACACAGGCCCCCACCTCGCTCGCAGATTTGGAATTTTAGTAAACGGGTTCACCGTATAACCAGATGTCCATCCTGACTGATCACCGTTCCTAAAGGCTGGATTAAGTGACCCGCCCCTTAATATGTTTTAGTATATAAATAAATTAAGTGCTTAAAACATGTGCTTAATGGGGCCCAGCGTGGTGGCTCATGTCTGTAATCCCAGCACTTTGGGAGGCCAAAGCAGGCAGATCACCTGAGGTCAGGAGTTCGAGACCAGCCTGACCAACATAGTGAAACCCCATCTCTACTAAAAATACAAAAAATTAGCCAAGTGTGGTGGTGGGCGCCTGTAATCCCAGCTACTTCGGAGGCTGAGACAAGAGAATCTCTTGAACCCAGAAGGCAGAGGTTGCAGTGGGCTGAGACTGTGTCATTGCTCTCCAGACTGGACAAAAAGAGCAAAACTCCATGTCAAAAAAAAAAAAAAAAATTAGCTGGGTGTGGTGGCACATGCTTGTAATCCCAGCTATTTGGGAGGCTGAGGCAGGAGAATCGCTTCAACTGAGGAGGCAGAGGTTGCAGTGAGCAGAGATCATGCCACTGCACTCCAACCTGGGCAACAAGAACAAAACTCCATCTCAAAAAAAAATGTGTTTAATGGATGGCAAAGGGAGATGAATGCATGACTCACACATGTTTGTAAGGTCATTTCATTCATTGATAAGAGGAACTTCCCTGGACAAGTTACACTGGTGATTCTCCACCCTGATTTAGATGGACCATCTCTGCTGATGAGGAGAGGATCTAATGTCTTTGTTCTCTCTGCCCAGATTGCCAGCCATTGCCATCTGTCCTCTAAGAACTGGACTGACTACAAATACAAAAGCCAGTGAACGGTGGGCAAATGGTAACACCCTCCACCCCGCCAACAGTGACATGATTCAAGGGCTAGCTAGCATAGCAGCAAAGAAAGATTCCACATAACTAAGGTAAATTTCTAAGCTACTCAGGCCTCTGCAGACACTGTAATAAAGAATTACGTGGAGGAAAAGGAAATCCTACTTACCCTCAATGGCTGTGTGTTTTCTACAAAGGGGCAGTGCTTTGAAGCCATTATGTATGGCTTTCTTAGTGAATCAAGATGCCTTCCAAATCTTTTGCATTGTTATATTTACATCATCATTCATTCAATTTGTCATGACATTTTACTTAGAGTATTTTTTCTCTAAATCTTGTGTTATTCAATTTTCCAAGCCAGTCTCAATATTATTTAATTCTAAATAAAACTTGAAGCTCTACTTTGTGAAGATGAATCAAATCGAAACCCAAAATAAGACAAAACATGTAAGAAGTTGGATCATAAAGAGGAAAGAACACATCAAGTAACAAAACACATTTGAGTGGTTTTCTCACTATTTTCTCCATTGACTCTCACAACAGCTCAACGTGGTAGATATAACTCTCCATTTTACAGAGAGGAGAGAAAGTTCCCATAGCTGTTATAAGAAAGTACACATTTGGACATTACAGAAAACTATGAAGATTTCTGAATCCAAATGAAGAAACCTAATGGAGATTACTTTACGTTTCTTATTGCTTAAGAATAATACAAATGAGAATAACCATCACATATTTTACTTTGATATAAATGCAATGTCAACTATTCAATTACTCCTAGAAAGCAATACATGTGAATAATTCCTGTGGAAAAGCTTCCATTCTTTTTACAATGTGCAATTATAATAGTGACAATGACAATAACGACAGTTAATAATGAATGCGTATTGAATACTGAACTTCTGATTATCATACTATTTATTTGGTGTGTGTGAACTTCAATTTGAAAACACCATAAAAAAAGATACCTGTGAACTAGAAAAGTAAAATGAAGAGAAGCTGAACTAACTGTGCTGAAGGGGGTTTTAATTATTCTTTTTTAAATAATTCCAGCAGAGCTTTACAGGTTTAATTTTAGATTAGTCAAAATTTATAAATGTAGCCTCATTGCAATCACTAGAGTTTCTTCTCATGGCAACATATTATACTTTTTAGAAGCTCTATACATAGGGAACCAATTTAGCCAAAATTAATATGTTCTCTTCATACCTTTTATTATTTTAAAATATTCCTTTCACTCTTCATTTTACCCATTTTGCCCAACCCAGACCAAAGTATGTATTGAAAGACAAGGAATAATAGAAATGTAAACAAAACGTTGAGTATATCGTGGTTGATAATATTTGAATGTCTTTGATTTGAGTTCCTTGATTCTTGCATAGAAAAATGTAAGGTTGCAAAGGCGATGGAATCTGAAGGTCTCCTTTGTTCCATCCCAGTAACTGCCCAACATTTACCATGTGTCACATTTGGGCGTGTGTGTGCGTCTGTATGCGTGAGTGCTGGCGTGCATACCACGCATTCCCGGGATGAATGATTGAAGGATGACCTACACCTCCTGGTGTAAACAAATTTTTCATCATACTGGTGTTCTAAGTACTGTAAAATCTCATTTATTTATATTTCAGTGATTTGGAACTTCAATAATTGGGAAACAGGCCAGATAAAGTTTTCCTTTCCATGATACATGAGAAAAGTTTTCATGAACTAGATTGCAAAAAAAAAACGTTTAACCTATTTAAGAAATCAGCTGATATGCTGGCACTTTAAATTCACCAATGCACATTTAGGCAAAATTCATTTTACAGGTAACAAATAATTCTCATTTATGAAAGAAGATATTCTGCAATGTTCTAAGAATCATTAATTCATAGAGTTTGA